GGGGGGGGGCGCGGGGGGGGGGGGGCGCGGGGGCGGGGGGGCGGTGTTTACTACCGGGAGCTATAGAGATGCTGAGTGAGAGAATATGACACAAAGTCGAAAGGACACTATAAAGTAACCCAGTGACTGGGGAAGGGGTTATAAATTTCAACACCTCGGAGTAAACTCAATAAGAAATATGCAGTGCCGACATCTAAACAAAAACAAAAACAAAAACAAAACACAAAACACAAAATTTCACTGGGGAATATAAACGTGGTCTTAAAAACCTTGATAAGGGGCGCCTGCGTGGCTCAGTGGGTTAAAGCCTCTGCCTTCGGCTCAGGTAATGATCTCAGGGTTCTGGGATGGAGCCCCACATCGGGCTCTCTGCTCAGCAGGGAGTCTGCTTCCTCCTCTCTCTGCCTACCTCTCCCCCAACTGAGATATCTGACTGTCAAATAAATAAATAAAATCCTTTAAAAAAAAATTGATAAGAAGAATTCATGTTGTAAAATTTCAAATCTCCTCAATATCACTATAAATTTAATGTAATTCCACTTAAAATTCCAATTCTAAAATTATATAACAAAAGAATAAAGGATGGAATTAAAACTTCAAAGCAAAAATAACTAGACTGTGTAGTTCTGCCATGATACTAGACACAAAGGTCAATGAAACAGATTCTAAATTCTAAACCCAAGAATACATAAGGATTCTAAATTCTAAACCCAAGAATACATAAGGACTCAGAATAGTGAAACACTTTTGTAATCAATAAAGAGTAGAGTTTTAATAATGTTTGCTTTAAAAATTTGTTAACTCTGGAAAGATACAGTTAGATTCCTAATGTAATGCCACGTATCAACACATTTATATATTTCAATATAGTTTGTATCTTATATCAGAAAAACACAGTGTATTACCTATGTAATTTAAAAAACAAAAGAGATTAAAAAAGAACTCAAATGATTTCAAAGTATAACTTTGAAAATGTGTTTAGGGGCGCCTGGGTGCCTCAGTTGTTAAGTGTCTGCCTTCAGTTCAGGTCACGATCCCAGAGTCTTGGGATCCAGCCCCGTATCAGGCTCCCTGTTCCGCGAGGAGCCTGCTTCTCCTTCTCCCACCCTCCTGCTTGTGTTCCCTCTCTCACTGTCTTTCCATCTGTCAAATAAATAAATAAAATCTTAAAGTTTAAACTCATAGTGTTTAAACTCATTACAATTTAGAACATGCAGGTTAAAATAATGAAATAAAAATTTAGCCCATCACATTGGAATTTAATAGTGTAAATACTATTAAAAGTCCAAGAAAAAGGGTGTTTCCCTTAACTGCAAGTGAGAATTTAAATTAGTATTATCTTTCAAGGAGCAATTTGGCAATATGCTTCCAAAGTGTTAAAAAATGTTTAGACTTGCCTCCTTTTCTCTGCCATCTTGGTCTGTGCAATTGACTGTTCTCTGCCATGTCTTCTTACCAGACTTTCAGGGTCAAGCAATTCCTAGCCAAGAAACAAAAGCAGAATTGTCCCATTCCCCAGCAGATTGAGATGAAAACTGGTAATAAAATCAGGTATGACTCCAAGAGGAAATATTGGAGAAGAAGCAAGCCAGGTCTATAAGGGATCACACATGAGATAGCACACAAATTTATGCTGCTTGAAGTCACATGTTCATACACTATTACTCAGTAAACATCACCACTACCTGAACGATAGATATGTTTTATCAGGGAAATGATTTTTCTCTGTTACTTTGCTTCTGCACCTGTAGGTTGATTCAGTAATAAATATGTGAGAACTTCTATTTTAAAAAAAATTTAGACTTTTTCACCCAGCTTCTGCCTCCAAAAATATGTGAAGACATAATGAGGACTTTAATCTAGAAATATCATGAACTATGTAATCTGAAAATACAAATTATTTTTCTGCTGCAAAACACCCAGGAATGTTGGATTAAAAATAAACTTATTTTTTTAAACACTGGTGGAAAGAATGAGGGGAGGGAGAGGGTAAGATGAGGGAGAACTGTAAAACAAAACAAATTCATTTATGAGCTAAAACTTCCGCAGCCCCAGAGGTGTTCGTTAGTATCAGTAATCAAGGAGCTTTTTTTTCTTTTCATTTTTTTTTTAAAGATTTTATTTATTTATTTGACAGAGAGAGAGAGATCACAAGTAGGCAGAGAGGCAGGCAGAGGGAGAGAGTGGGAAGCAGGCTCCCTGCTCAATCCCCTGCAGGACCATGACCTGAGCCTAAGGCAGAGGCTTTAACTCACTGAGCCACCCAAGTGCCCCAAGGGGCTTTTTTTAAAAGTAGGAAATACAGGGTGCCTGGGTGGTTCAGTGGGTTAAGCCTCTGCCTTTGACTCAGGTCATGATCTCAGGGTCCTGGGATTGAGCCCCACATTGGACTCTCTGCTCAGCAGGGAATCTGCTTCCTCCTCTCTCTCTGCCCGCCACTCTGTCTACTTGTGATCTCTGTCTGTCAAATAAATAAATTTTTTTTAAAAAAGTAGAAAATACATTCAAATGATTCAAAATCTGAGTTTTATTGAAAAAAAAAAAAAGAGGTGGGAAGAACACTTATTCAGAACCTTTCCTCAAACCACCCCCTAGAGGCATCCATTCTAACCAGTTGCTTGTGTGCCTTCCCACAGTTGTGGTACATATGCATCTGCAGACTTACTTTTTTAAGATTTTATTTATTTATTTATTTGAAAGAGAGAGAGAGCATGAAAAGTCAGGGGGTGGGAGAGGAGAAGAGGAAGAAGCAGGCTTCCCACTGAGCATGGAGCCCAACCAGGCTCAATCCCAGGACCCTGGAATCATGAGTTAAAACAAAAGCAGACACTTAGCCAACTGAGTTACCCAGGTGCCCCTGCAGACTTACTTTTAATCTATATGGAAGCAGGATATACACACTGTTGTGTACCTTACTTTTTTCACTTAAGATGAGATGATTTCATTCCTACTTAAAAAGAGCACTCTTGTTCTTTTTAACCAATGCACAATACTCCATTTAATGGCTGAAGTTATAATTATTTAACCAATCTCCTGTAGACAGGCATTTAGATTGTTGCCAGTCTTTAACTATTACAATAAAACTTCAATGAGTAACATTGAACAAAGGTCACTTAACACTTAGACAAGTATGTCTGTAGAAAAAGATTCCAAGAAGTGGAAGGATGTAGAAAGATACAGCCATTAGATAGATATATATGTATTATTAAGTCAACCTTCTTAGCTGTTGCACCAGCTAAGTTACCACCTGTGTGAGAGGGCACCTGTTTCCCCAGACTCATGCCATTATTGTGTTTTATGAAATTTTTGGATATTTGCCCTTTTAAGAGCAGAAAAACAACATCAGTGGAGCTTTAAATTTAATTTTTCCTATCACAAATGAGGTCAACTATATTTTCTCAGGTTTAAGGGCCAATTATTTTGCTTTTTCATGAACTGTTGTATCTTTTACTCATTTTTGGTTGTTTTGGGTTTTTTTTCTTATTGACTTGATGGAGATTTTATATTAAGAAAATTAGCCCTTTTCTTATGATTTGAAAGTATTTTTTCAGTTTTCATTTGTGTCTGACTCTTTTAACAGCTTTATTAAGATACAAGTGATACACAATAGACTGCTCATAGTCAAAGTGTATAACTTGAAAGCTTTTAATACCTATAATTAAGGAACAATTGACCTGCCATAAACAGTATATTTAAAGTATGCAGTTAGGTAAATTTTCACTTATGTATACATTCATGAAATTGTCACCACAATCAAGAGAAAGAACATATTCCTGGGATGCCTGGGTGACTCAGTCGGTTGAGCATCCAACTCTTGATCTCAGTTCAGATCTTGATCTCAGGGTTGTGACTTCAAGTTCTGTGTTGGGCTCCATGCCAGGTGTGGAACCTACTAGAAGAAGGAGAAGAAAGGGGGGGAGTACATATTATATTTCTCACCCCCAAAAAGCTTTCTTGTGCCCCATTATAACCCTTTCGTCTTGCCCCTCCCAGCCTCCCACTCCATCTCCCCGATAATAGCAGTTCTGTGTTCTGCCACTATTGATTGGTTTGCATTTTCCATCATTTTAAGTAATGGAAATATACAATATATACTCTTTTATTTTGGTCTGGTTTTCTTTGTTCTGCATAATTATTATGCAATTATTCATGTTATGTACACCAATAGTTCATTCTTTTATTGCTGAGTAGTATTCCACAATCATCTCAAATGATTTTCAAAAGGGGTCAGAAAAAATGTATACATACACATACATACATATGTATATTTAGAAAAAGAATATGACAAAGTGAACGGGGCAAAATATAAACAACTGGTGAAATTGAGTAAAGGGTAATTGGGAGTTCATTGCACTATTTTTTAAAAAGTAGATTTATGGAGGTCAAACTTACATATCATACAACATATCCATTTTTTAAAATTTCTTTTCAGCGTAATATATCCATTTAAAGTGTGAGTCATCTGGCCTAGGTTTATGCAATCCTCCAGCACATCTCCAAAGCCCAGGTGGCCCATTCCCAGAAATACATAGATGAGGCTTCAAGAAAGAGTTCAAAGATATCCTTATCTAGTATGACCAGACCTTGCTGGTAGCTGAGCCCAGTCAGTGTAAATCCAAGCAGCTCAGAGGTTCTGAGGCACGCTCTGGATGCCAGAAATCCTACTGAGAAGCCCACCACAGGAACAGTTTTCACTTTTATACAACACAATGGTTGTAGGGTTTTAAGGCTTAAAAAAAAAAGGTAGGGTCTCTTGCAGGTTAGGATGATGTGAATACATACATCTACTTTTCTCTGTCCCCAAACTCTACAAAATTACAGTAAATGAGTTTTGTTTAGTATCTAAACCTACAAGTCTGAGGAAAACGGTAGGGGAAACAGCAACATTCTAGACATTGGAAAATAGGTGATGTGTGAAAACTGCTTTAGTATCCCCCAAGGAACCCAAATCCCAAGTTGACCCCAACAAAGGTTCAAAATCAATACAGTTTGCACCACAGTCTCAGAAGGATGAGAAATTGGCAACACCAGAAAAATCTGAAACAGGGTGAGAGAGTTCTTATGTGGGTAGTGCTCGCTTTGGCAGCACATATACTAAAATTGGAATGGTACAGGAGGTGTGAGTAAAAGCTGTTTGAGAAACAGTAAAATGCCAGGTCTCTTACTCCAACCTAGAAAAACAGAGAAGGGACGCCATGAGACCATATGTCTAGTGAATTGCTGGATGCGGACATCCCTAGCCTTCTTCCCCAACACAACTCCCAACATGCTGACGGCCAGAAAAGAAACTAAAAAACTCTTTTCCATAGAATCTGACCTTCCTAAGAGCAAGACCTTCAGACGCTGATCCTGGAGGTTCCTCTGTAAATGGCCCACCCAAATTCTGAGTCAGTAAAATTCAAAGTTGAAAAGTTCTTCCCACAGGCTCAGTGCATGAATCAGTTTTTTAGGCTCACATTTTCTTGATCATGAGCAGAGAGCCAGGGGATTACAAACCTAGTGAAGAACGCCTCTACCACAGAAAATGGAAATCAAGATAAGCAAACAGTGGAGAAAAACAGAAAGCAAACATGGAGGGGAAAAAAGCTTAGAAAAATACATCATAAATTTATTTAAAAGAAAAAGAGGGATAGAATGTATTGTATCCATGAAACAAAAATAAGATGCCAGGAAAGAAAGAAAGAATGGAAGGAAGGAAGGAGGGAGGGAGGAAGGAAGGAAGGAAGGAAGGAAGGAAGGAAGGAAGGAAGGAAGGAAGGAAAAGGAAAGAAAAGAAGTAAAAGAAAAGAGCCTTAAGACATTAGAAATGCAACAGCAGAAATGAAAATGTTGATAGACAGGTAGAAAGATAAAGTAGAGAAAATCTCTCAGAAAATAGAATAAAAAGTCAAAGAAATGAAAAACAGAAAAAAAAAAAAAGAAAGAAAGAAAGAAAGAAAGTTACAGCACCATCCCAGGGGGGCTAGCGTCTGAGTAATGAGGGAAAGAAATCATCAATGAAACAGTCTAAGAACATTTCGTGGAACTGAAGACCTTGAAATTACTGATAGAAAGGGCCCAGAAACAGGCACATCATTATAAACTTTCAGAACTCTGGGAAGAAAAGTAATTTCTTAAAAACTCTCAGTGAGAATAAAATGAATTACATATCAAGGATCAGAAATGCGATCCTTTACCTCTTTTAGAGATACTTATTGGATATTGAAAAGTGAAACAGTATGATGTCTGGATTTTGATTTAAAATAATTGAAAGTTGAGTAGGAAGTGGGAGGGAGCTACAGATGCAACATTATTGGCCAGGAATTGATAACTGTGGAAGTAGGGTGTATATATGGGGGGAAATCATTATATTACTCTTCTTTGTAGATATTTAAAAGAATTGTAGGAATGGTTTGGATTTCTCAGCAACACTGGAAACAAAAAGACAATGAAGCAATGCTTTCAAAATTCTAAAAGAAATATATTTCCAAACTAGAATTCTATACCTAGACGAGCTATAAGTCAAGTGCAATGGAAATGCCAAAGTAGATCATGGCCTTAGATGAATCAATGGTGGCCCATCCATTTTATTAGGAAGTAAGACAGAGTGTTAGGTGCTGA